CTGCAAAGCTTTGTCTCTGTAGAAAGAACAAAAAGTAACAAGGGAAAGGATTAAGCTGCTGAAAGGCATCTGGTTTCGCTGCGTGAAGGCACAGCTCAGCCACGTAATGCTTTTGCAGGTGTGCGGGGAACAGCCCTTCCTCTGCCAACTTTTTGGCAGTCCCCCTGTCCTCAAGGTTGCGTGACCCGTTGCCAGTTTGTATGTATTCATCCTATGGGAACATTTACTGCTAATAGACCTGTGTGTGCTGAGGAGCTCTCGTACAGGCTATTATCTCCCTTTCTGTTGGAAGCTGAGCTTTGTTGCTCTGCTAACCAGCACAGCAGCTGAGCGAACACAACATAATGTTCATGAATTATTGCAGGCAATGTCCATGTCCTCCCCAGCGGTGTGTGGCAGGGTCATCTGCTCTTCACTATTCTGGTCTACCCAGGAAACCTCTTTCAGTGTCTATTTTTGCCTAGTATTTTCATTTTACATCCAGTGCAGTGGTGACACATTGGTTATTCGACCATAATTCAGTATATAAAAACAGACGTAACTAGGAACATTGCTTTCTGCATGGCCTTGAGTGCTGAAGCAAGACTCAGCTGACCCGAGTGGGTGTTTTTCCAACAAAACAGGCTCCAGGTTTTTTGGCTGACACTTTTGCGAGCATTTTGCAGCCCCAGTTCACTGGAAATCGACTTTAGATGTATAATCTCACAAATGCCTGTGCTGCTGCCAGTTTTCAGCAGTGGTGGGATGGGTGCGCTCCAGAGTGCCCATCAGCAGCCCCACGCTCCCACAGTCATGCTGGGAACACCGTGGGGCTCGAGCTGAGGATCCCCTCACGGCGGTGGGAGGTCAGAGATGGCACGTGCTGGCTCTGGCTCACAATTTCCTCATGGCACTACAGATTTGTTCCTTGCAGTATTTTTTCTAATTCTCTTGCCATTCATGGTTTAAAGGTCTTGAAAAAACGTCTCTTAAGAGTGATTTTGTATCACTTGGTAATTCTCACCATTAGAAGTTTCTCACACTGAGATTTCATTTATAATGTGGTAGCCATCATGAAAACAGAGGAAGCTACAGTCCCAGCCCTGCAAAACTGTCAGTCTAATAATTTTAATTTTGAAGGTGGTATAAAATTCAGCTCCCACAGCCTCCTTCCAGCTGCTGCTGCCACAGACATCCCTGGCAGGAAACCTTGTCCCCAGTATCAGAAGCAACTGGGTCTCAGGCATCTTTGACCCACATGGTGTACCCCACCTGGGGACATATTGCTGTGTCCCCATGTTGTCATACCCAGTGTGCCGGTCTCCTGCGATTGCGCGCAGCTTTCTCCATCAGTGCCTGACAAGAAGAGGGAATGGTAGCTAACACTCTAAGCAATGCAAACGTGTGTCTGCATTTTTTCTACCCTGATGCGGGTGATATTGATTGGTCCATTAATGTAAATGCCTTGGCTGTTGTATGTTGCTTTTCTTGCTTATTAATCAAAATAATGCAAAATGAGGGGAAAGCAATTTTTTAGGAAAAAAATGAAATACAATCAACAGTGATTGAAAACAGACTGCTGGAATGTGATGGGGCTGTCTGCCACCCACCAGACATGAGGATACCCACAATAACTGGGGAAAAAGTTGAAACGCTTTATTTTGACATTTTGTGTACACACTGTTTGGAATTTTTGTCTCCAAGCAGTGTTTTGAGGGAAGATTTGCCTAAATCTGTTTGTTTGGTTAAAAAAAAAATGCAGCCAAATGTTTTGTTTGTATCTACTGACACATTTCAGTCAACTGCAAATGTCTTTTTTGGACGTGCAGGTTTTTGTTTTGCCTGGAAAAAAAAATGGAAGGAAGCAACTTTAATTTGCAGGCACCTTGAAGTTATTTCTGCTACCTACAGTTGGGGAGACCTCCCTGTAGCCAGCAGCAGATGCAAAACACCGAGACGTATACATAATATCCGGGATGCAAATACTCCCACTGAACCAATTCACAGGTTGGAAATCGAGCTGGTGCTTAAGTGCCTTGGTGTATTGAGGCTTTAACAATAACAAATAGCACTAAGGAGCAAAAATGATCAATTAAAGAACTCCTAATGAACCAAAATATCAGCCTCCCCAAGTTGGGAAGTCCAGAAGCTGAAAGGCAGATTAGACAAGGTGTGAAATCCCCTTGTTCGGTGTTTCTCACTACGTGGTAACCACTGCTCCGTGCTGCTTGTATTTCCCTGTGTTTTCTTGGTAAAGCTGAAGAGAAGGAAACTACTTGAGACACTGTTGCCAATCCTGTTCGTTTCTGTTACACAAACAGTAGGGAGAATCCAGTTATTTATTTATGTTCCATGCACAGAATGTAAAAAAAAAAAGGGATGTCTGGAGAAAATTACTCTCTTTTAAATTGATTGTAGTTACCTCAAACCTTGGAAATACTCATTTGTTTTCTGATACAGTTGACGGATTTTGCTGTGCAGCCTGGCATTGTGTAAGAACGTAATGCATGTAGTAAAGGTGACTAACCCCTGAGAACGTCCCCACTGATGCCAAGTGGCCCATATGCTGTCATAAACACTTTTTCGTCTCTTTTTCATGCTGATCACAAGAGCCCATTTTGGGTAGAAGATCACATTAGGCTCATTCATTACCTGCTGTGCTGGTCTGTGCATCTGCAGTGCAGCATGTCTGCACTGAGCTTTGGACTACATCCCTGCATGCTTTCTGATATTCCAAATTGTCTGTCACGGGTATACAGATCTTCTCCTGTGTGCATCCTGGAACATTCTGCCACAGAAATAAAAATTACTGGTAAAGGTGGCTGAACTTCTGGGGGATATGGTTGTTGAGAGCTGATACTAGGCTGTATATATATCACCAAGAGAAATTCCTGAAAATTGATATTTGTAGCAAAACTATCACTCCTTGTAGCAGAAGAGAAAGAAACTGACTGGCAGATTATTCTCTATTTTTATGAATAAATTTAAAATCCAATGAGAACCGTGGGTGTGACACACTAGTGAAATTTTACAGTACCACCGCAAACTTTAATCTTCACTTTTTTTTTTTTCTTGAAAGACTGTCTTTGTCCAAAAGCAAAATTTCAGGCCCAGGGCTACTGAAGACCATCTTTAAACTTGCCTTGTGATTTTGAGCAATACATCATGAGAGCAGTGATGTTCAGATGATACATTGCCCTAATACATCACAAGAGCACTATCGCTCTCATGATATATTAGTATAATACACTATCAGAACACTATCACTGATGTATTACTCAAAACCACAGTTTTTAACCCTCAAGAATCATCCTCATCTCTAGGCTGAATACACTGAAAGCTATGGATAATGACAAGAATAAGCAATTGCATATTCGGTTTCCCTAGGGTAAGCTGAGAAAAAAAAAAAAAAAGAGTGGTATTCAGAATATTTCATTAACTGAAACATCCTTGTAATTTCATTTTATTCACTGAGGGAATGTTTTTATGGATTGAAGCTAACACAATATAGGTATGTTTGAATTTTCTTACAAATAGCCTAAAAAAAACTTTTTTTTATTTTGGATTTCATTATAGGCTTGAGCCATGTTTTGAGAATGTTTCAATGAGGTGCATGAATTTCAGCTGGTTTCTACCTCATCAAATTGAGTCAGGTGCAAGCTGTCTAAATTCTATGTAAAGCATTTTTTTCTGATGCAGTCTTTTTTTTAAAAGTATTTAGGCACCATCTAAAAAGATCTGGAGATGCATAAATGTGATCTGTCACTCAGATCATTTGCTGCCTCTCCTCAAGGAGGTGTTGGGGTTTTTTTCGTGAAGAATTATTCTCAGTTGTTTTGGTTTTTTTTCCTCCTAAAAGAGAGTGAAAGAGAAAAGGGAAAAGATAAAAGAATGCTTTGCAATGTTGTAGCTGAACTTACTGCAGAAAAGCAGATAGATGAGCGTTTGATTTCCTAGTAGAGTTTGAGTCTTGAGAATCTTGAATTACCCTTCCTATATGGTATGAAGAGACTGTCATAATCTCTTAACAGAAAAAAAATACAGTCACAGTAGTAATACAACATCAAGTTGGCAAGGTGGCAAGTCATATATTTGCCTGCTTGTCCATATTTTTGTTCCTTTTCCCCATATCTTACCAGCTTTTGTGACAAAAATACATTGCCCCTCACCTCCCTCCCATACTGGGTAGCCTAAAGCTGCCTGTGCAGCTTATAGTCCTTAGCTCTGCTACCCCCCGAGCAATGGCCCTGCCATCAGGAGGGTGATGCTCATGCTTCAGGCTCTGCAAAACTGGGCTCATAATTCTTGTGCCTTGTAGGTTTGGGACCACTTGCTGCACTGGAGCCTGTGTCCCTGCAGGCATGTGCCCCCAGCACGCGCCTCATACCACTGGGGCCTTCAGTCCGTTATATTCGGGCTACAACCTCCCGGGGGGAAAAGCAAAACATTACTCTTTTTAACCTTGCAAAAGACATTGCATTAGCGGTGCTGAACAGCCTAGTGCATGTCCTTTTCTGACAGCCTTTCTACCTACGTGGTCTCCGTTATGTTCCATCGGCTCCTCCATCCCCTGGCCTGTGCAGCACAGCACTGAGCGTGGGGCTGCCCACACGAGCCCTCTGCCCACACCTGCTACAGCCCTGTCCCATCACCGGCACTTTGTTATTCTTGTCGGTTTTGAAGTCACAACACGCAGCTCTGAGGTACATTGTCATTTCAAAGCTGTGGCTAAATACGTCTCTGACTGACAACTATGAATAATTCCACAGAGCCCCTAAACTTCCAGGCATTTCACTCTGAAGCTCATATAATACAGCAGAACTGCTCTCTCATGTTTTTCATCTTTTATATTCTCCAAAGAGTTGAGATACAGTTATGGAACAGGTTAATGTATTTTCCTCTGAAAATAATGCTGTGGGAGCCCGTGCACGGTTACTTGTATGTGTGGAGAATAATGCTGACAATCCAGAAAAGAAAGTCATGAGCTTGATAATCACCATTATTTTGTTTCACGTTTTCAGCATGTTCATGTCCATGTCCTTCCAAGGAGGGCCGGAGACTTCAGCAGGTTTTTTGATGTCTACAAGGAGGTAAGGGCTGCACTCCATTTTTTGTTCAGAGTTGGGTTTGCTGTTAGAAAATCACCTTAATGATACAGGCCCTGCCTTGAGTGGAGGTAGTGGGATCTCTGCATCTTTATTGGTTGCAAAGAGCCTGCGATAGCACCAAGCCCTACACTGGGATTTCCTTGTGAGCTCTGGGTCAAGCTGTGGTCACACAGGCTCCCGAGGGAGGAGGCTGTCGACTTCTTTGGTACTTCAGTCTGTCACCACAAACAGAGCGAGATGACATCTCTACCAATAGCTGTGTTCTCTTATTTTAAGGGTGTGGGGAAAAAGGGTGACCACGCGGTTAGCCTGGCATGCAGGGAGCATGTCCTACCCCGTCTGCCAGCCTGGGGTGCCAAACTTCCCCCTTCCAACAAGGGAAAACACAGGCGACTCGTTACAACTCAGTCAGAAATTGCCTTCCGGCCTGCTTTTTGTAGGGCTCTGCTCATGCTCTGGACAAATTACATCATAGCCCCAAAGATAAAAATTAAAGAGCAACTATGCATATAGATGTAATAATGTATGCATGTGCGCAGATTGTGCAGCGGAGCTGGGGACATGAGCTGTTCCAGTGTGACTGAATTACTGGCTTTTGTTTAAATGAACAATTGTACTGGCATTAACAAAAAGTTTTCCCCAGCTTGACAGCTGTCACAAGGAGTTAATGAAAAAAATCTCACTATTGTTACATTTACAGATGGTTCTTAGTGGGTTTGGTAGGATCCTCTATCTCAAATATGACATCTCCTTCTCTTTCTGAAAGTAATTAATATAAACTTGTTCAGTGCTACTGCAATACCATCTGCTTGAAGGAGAATTCATGACATTTTCTGCTTTTGTATTTTTTCCTTTGTGATATATACATGATGACAACTCTCCGCTCACAAAAAAAAGGTAGTGTATTTTAAAGTTTTCTAATGACTTAACTATGCAAAAGTGGTGAAAAAATTTTATTATTGACCAGTTACATGAAGCGTAGAGACTGAGAACCCCACTAATAAGGGTAAAACCTTATAACGAGACTGCTGAGCCAGGAGATCAAATGAAATTACATGATGGCCATCTTATGTGCTGCTGTAGTTAAAAGCAGATAAGTGAGGCAACTTGAAAGTTAACATTTTTTCCTCTTCAAATGTGTTAAGTGGTTTTAGATGCTGCACCAACGCACAAACTCTGTTCCCATTTTTGTCGTATTTACAATTCCATTTTCTTCTTTTTTAACACATTTATTTCTCCCTTGTTATATGTAAATACAAACAGACAAAACTCTGTTAATGAACTAGACTATACATTTAGTGTTGTTAAATGCAAAAGGGTGACAAATTGGTGAAAAATATTTTTATCTTGTAATTTTCAGTTACAGCAATTGTAGGTGTTGCTTTTAGCAGACATAGGAAGCAAAAATATTTAGACATAGATGTGGTAATATATCTTTTAGCAGGAGAATGTATAGCCTCAGAGTCTAACCAGCTATTCTTGAATACCACAGAGCTAACTTATGCTTTTGTACAGACTGTAGCTGATAAAGATTTCATGTTTTTTTAGGAAGCCAGGGAAAAAAACCACATTTGATGCTATAAAAAGTTTGATGCAAAGTTCTATTGCTGCTTTGATTGGAGGATGGAGAGGCTTAAGCTGTACGCTATCACAAGTGGATAAATCTATTTTGAAAAATGCAAAATGGACAAATTACTGAAAATACAGCTGACTTTGGAAATCATTTGGAGCTTATGTCAGTAAGGCAAAAATCTTTTGATATAATGCCTCTCCGTGTTGTACCAACAAGACATATCCTTTGTCAAGAAGATCTTTTATAAGATTTAGGAAGATATGTAGATCATGGTGGGGCAACAGGCTGAAAATCTACATGGGATAGAGTACCATTAGGTGAGATGTAGGTGCTAGAGAGAGCTTTAAATCCATCATCCATGAAATTTGTACTTAGGACAATCCAAAACCTGTATATAAACGATGCTTCGTTTTCATACATTTGAGTGATAGATGGAGTTGTAGTTCAGGCAGCAAAGACCACCTTCCAAAATCATCCCCACAGCCTTTTCCTTGTAGCATGTGACATGGAGGCTGATCAGCCTCCCTTAAACAATTTGTGTAATTGTAAAGCACACCCAGGCTAAATTTTACATATTGTGGTGCCTGGTTTAACTAGCGCCGCTTTACAGCTATTGGGCATAATTTTCACAGATTCTGGATGTCAACTCTGGTTCAACCTATCTATTGCAACCCGCTATCTATCTGTAAATGCCTTTGAGCTCTCCAAGCTCTGCAGTTGTCATCTGTATATGCTCAGCAGATTGCTGACAAATCCCATTGCTCTGTGAGTGTTTGACAGTGAAGGGAATGCCCAGATGTTGAGACATCAGTCCTCTTAGGAGACTTCTAGAGTTGAGACAGCTAGAAAGTACTTGCAGACTCTTACCGTGTGCTTTATTTCTCCCATTTGGTTTGGGAGTGACCACCCATCTAATTGAAAAGGCGGAAAAAAGCATATCACGTTGATCCCTGATTAGTCTGTTTACTGGGCTCTGGTATCTTCAGGCCTTTGGCTATGAAGCTCTGACATAGCCTCGTCTAAAGCAACTTTTAAGTGTAAAGAATATAGTTAAAGGTAGGGTATATCTTTAGCATTTGGATTTTAATAAGGTTGCTGACGGACACTAATGTCTGCTGGTTTCTGGATATATATTTGGAACTTCAATACTAGAACATTAATTGTAGAAGGGATAAAAGAGGGGCCGACAACTATTTCACAGCACCTTCTCTAAGGCATTTCTTGGTGGAATATGTCAGTTAATATTTTAGGTTTCTGTACCTCAGTGCGTATGAAAGAAGTCACTGCATGACTTTTCTAAGATACAGAGAGAATGATTAATAATGAAAAAAAAGAATCTGCATTGAATGTTTTAGATGTATTTCCTCTGCAACTTTGTGGGGCTATTTCCTGGGAGGACATTTCCCAGGGAGTGTTAGCTATCCACCCTCTGGGCTCACCACGGTGAAAAGCTAAAGGTATAATTTTTCAGTTCTTACCTTTTCCTGCAATTATTTGAAGCCTAATCCTGCAAGTGTGCACATGTCAGAGTTAAATTGGTCTTACAGGCTTTTTTAAAGGATCAGGCCCTTCATGTTTTACTATTGCTGGATTACTTTTCTCAGCTACATCTTGAGTAGTTCTTATTCATTGATTCACTTTTTTTCTTGGCCAGCAAAACTATAGCAGGTAAATATTAGGAAAACTTTTAATCAGAATACCTCTTTATTCCTCTGTTTTCTATTTGGTTTGAAATAGATTAATATTTTTACATTTATTAATCAAGGAACGTAAAGGCCTTCCTACCAAGGAGTTGCCTGCTTTGAAGTAGATTAGGTTTTTTGCTATTGTAAGGGCGTGTTCACAGTATCCGATAAGAATTTGGTATTAATGAACATCTTTACTGTCAAATGTCACCCTGTGTTGCTGCAGTCAGCACAAGTACTGCAGAGTTGTTGGAGGTCATCGTGTCCAAGGCATTCAAGAACATTATCCTGAAATGTCTCAGCAGTTTCATACACTCAGCCATCTGTGGGCAGTCCTCGTTCAGTGTGTGTTTGAAAAGTCCATAGCACAGCCTGTCCCTGCTCTCCACTGAGTGGTTAGCCATTACCACAATATAAATAACATTCATCATCCTTTAGGTTGGCAGGTAATAGCCGTGCTGGGGCAGAGAGTGTGGGTCTTTCTCAGAAAGGAAGACTGAATCAAAAGTCCGCAATACCGCTGTCATGAGTACTGACCTCAATAAGTTAATTTTGAGGCTGACAGACTCGGATGGGTGAGAGCAGCCTGGCCTCTCAGCAAAACCCTGAGCATCCCTGGCATGCAGTGATGTGTTTTGTGGTGCAGACCCCTGTTCCTCCCCAAACTCTGTGTTTCACTTGGTGAAACACAGAAAAACAGCAGCCTGCTGTAACGGATGCAGCTGCAGCAGTGATGCACAGCCGGGGCTGTGCATGCAGGACAAAGAATGCCCATCCCCGCGCCAGCTTTGCTTTCATGCCCACCTCATTTCCTCACTTGTCTGCAGTTCCCAACCTAGGCTGGAAAGCACTGAAAATACTGTAGAAGGGAAAAGTGTGAATGAGAGAGGTTAACCCAAACCCCTGTGTCTCTATCCCCTGGCTGCCTGCCAGACCTGCATCACAGACCTCTTGTAATGAGCCTGGGTGAAACTTCCTAATGTGAATTCTTCAGTAGCTTAGAGATTTTGTAAAACACAGAAGCCAGCAAAAGAATTCGGTTCATGCTGTCCTCCTTCCCCCTGGCATTCAGGCACGCAGAGAGAGAG